TCTCTCTCTCTTGCAGAGCTTTTGTGGACAACACGCATTTACAGACGCTCCATCTGAACTTCAATCCGCAATTGAGTGACATACCCATGCGGCTGTTCCAGGGCAATCCGAACATTCTGGAGGTGTACATGCAGAGCAACAGCCTGCAGACGCTCTACTCGGCCCAGTTCCCAGTGGATCAGCTGCAGAAGCTCTATCTGGGCGATAATCCGCTGCAGTGCAACTGCTCGCTGCTCTGGCTGTGGCGCCTGGTCACAGGCAACTTTGAGGGCACAGAGCCCGCGCTGGAGCATGCTCAGGGCGGCGCTGTGGCCGCACTGGCCAAGGAGGCATCGCTGGTGCGGGAGCAGGAGGACGACACCACACTCAAGGCCGACGATGGGGTATCCGCCCTGGCTGCCTACATAGCCGAGCAGCATATTGCGAACGCCCTGCAGACCACCGAGCCGAGCGCGTATGAGCAGCGACTGGAGGCCGCCGCCAGCGCCAGCTCCAGCAGCAGCTCCAACTATTTGCGCATGGACAAACAGCAGATCGGCTGCGACATTTGGCGGGACGGCGTTCGCACCCGCCGCCAGCTGCTGACAATGAGCGAGGGCGAGATCACCTGCCCGGCGCACATCGTGACCGTCGTCTGTGCGGTGATCACCAGCCTCCTGGTGCTCATGATCGGCATCAGTGTGCTCTACTATCTGCGCTTCGTGAAGCGCCGGCGCAAGCTGCTGCACGAGCGCGGTCCGCTGCGCACCAGCAAGAGCATCATCAACGTGCACGACCGCATCCTGCAGGGCCACCACCAGCCGCTGGGCGGTGGCGCGGGCATGAGCATGACCCTGGGCGGCTCGGGGCCCGGCGGCCTCGGTATGACGCTCAACTATCCGCATCATGCGCAAACGCTGCAGGCGCATCATCACTACCACCAGGCCATGCCGCTGCAGGGCCACAGCGGGCACGAGTACCAGCAGACGACGCTGCCGCAGCTGGACAAGCTGGAGCTGGAGCGCTATCTGGCGGCGCAGACGATTGCCAACGAGTATCGGGCGCTGAAGCCCTGGGAGCTGCCCGTCAAGGAGGCGGACGACGAGCCGGAGCATCTCTACGAGCGCTTCGATCACTACGAATACCCGGACACGCACACCATGACCAAGCTGAAGCAGGCGGCCGCACTCCAGGGCAGCACCGCGGTGACAGCAGCTGGCAATGCCAACGCTGGCGCCGCCAACAGCAAGCCGCACGTGGTCTACGTATGACGTGGACGCGGCGTTGCTGGCAACCAGAAACAACAGCAGCAAAAGCAGCAGCAGCAGCAGCAGTTGGATCTGGGCATTGAGCTGGTGGGCCTGGGCCTGGGGCTGACCAACAACAACTATCGCAGCTATGCGCAGTGCCCGAGCAAGGCGATCGATCACTTTTGAAAACAGGGATATTCACAGCAGCAGCAGCAGCAGCAGCAGCAGCAGCAGCAGCAGCAGCGGCAGTTTTATGTTTAGGTATCCTTCGGTTCTTTTCAGTTCGAATTTGAGTTTGAGTTGGGCATTTTCGGAGAATTTGATAACTCGCAACAAAAAGTTTAACAAGCGTCAAATGAAACAAGGGATATATCTACGTGTATAGCAGCATACTATAATAATATTATTAGTACTAAAGAAAGGAAAAATGAATAAAGAATTACAAATAAAAAATTACAAATATGTCATATTAGCTGATAAGTTGAAGAAAAGCAAAGAAATATTAACATAAAAATAGCAATAGTTATATTTCTCTTATTCTCTGTCTCCCTCCCTCTATCTCTCACACACACTATCTGAAAGTTAAGCAAGAGAAAAATCCACTCATAGTTAATGGCATTCAGCATTAGTCTAGCATTAGTTAGTAAGCGCATTTAACTGAATTTAATAAACTTAAATGAAACAAAACAGTTTGCAGTGTGAAGAGTGCAACAATAACTAAGTTAACTATTTATTATTATTATTTTTATTCAAAATTTGTACTTTGACGAGAGCTCAACAAGTAACAAGGCTAAGGGGACCAAGCAAACAGTCCATTATTCAATATAATCCAAACTTAAAAGAGCGCAAGAGCTTAGCTCGCAAATAACTGTTCCCAATTTACTCTTTATGTTCTCGCTCTTAGCAAGAGCCT